GAGGAGACCTGTCCCAGGGTGTGTGGAGGCCGAGGAGACCAGTCTCAGGGTGTGTGGCACTGGCAAAGGCCTTCTTGCTGCCTTATGACAGAGACATCACATACTGAGAATGAGGGGACATTCCTAAACACGTGGCTCCCTTCTCCTTTTTAATATGGCTCCTAATCCCTCGTGACCCTCATAATCTCCTACCCCTACTCGGCCCAGCTCCAAATGCCATCGGCATATCAATAGAGGATTCAGTTTCTGACATGAGCTTAAAGCTCAAGAAAGATCTATGGAAATGAACTTTGTGGTAAAAATAGTTCAATCAGAGGCAGCTCAGTGGGTAAAGATGCTTGCCGCTGCAACTCACGAATCTCCAGGACCCAAATGGTAAAGAAACTTCCAAAAGATGGTCCTCTGCCCACATGTACACACAATAAATCAGTAAATGAATTTTTTTAATGTTTCAGCCCTTAAGATCTAATTTTAAAAACCACTCAGTAGGTGCATATGGCGGTGCATGCCTGAGAAGGCAACGGCAGGTCCATCTACACAGTGAGACCCCGTCTCCAAACAAACACAGATCATTCAATAATAGGATGAAAACGAAAAGGGACAAAAGTTTATTACACTCTATTTATGACGACGTGAGCCTGTGTGCGCAGCAAAGGTGGTTAATTCATGGTCATGGTCTCAGTGGACACTGAGAAGCCCCAGTCAGTGAAGAAACGGTTCAGAGTACATGGTGGCCCACCTGGGGTTCCGGTGTACTTCCAGGTACAGCAGTAAGCTGAGTATGTCTCCTGGCCCTTCCATCTGCCGAGATGCCACGGAGGACCATGTCCCGGCAGTGCCCTGGGCTCTTCTGCCACCCCAGCACATCTGGTGCCTTCATTCCCAGAGCTGAACGATTAGATAGGGTCAAGACAGCACAGGCCCGGCGAGGTGCCTCAGCGGGTAAAGGGTGCTTGCCACCAAGACAATGACCAGAACTCCCATGGTGGGAGAAAACCGACTCCCAGACGTTCTCTTATTTCCATGAGCGCACACAAACACACGCTGATTTTTTCTTTTTTTTTAACCCAGCAAAATAAAAAAGCAGTGGTCTGGAAACTAAATGAAACAGTGATTTCAGCCCATAAAGTATAAAAACAAAGTACATGAAATCACAAAGGTTAAAAATAAATGATTTAGAGGTGATATCTGGAAGACATACAAGTAAGAGTTGGTGCTTGAAAAATCTGTGGCTGTACTCACTATCACATTCAGAAACGTGAAATAAAGTGTCGTGGGCTACACCCGTGGTCTCTAAGGAACCAAGAGTGGACCTGCTGGATGGCCGAGGAGCGAGCAAACAGAAGGTAACACGCGCCCGCTGCCTGCTGAAGTGGAATCCTCTCCTTTTTGGCCTCAGGGTTGGGCTGGTGCCAGAAATTCCTCAAGAGTCATCTCGGCTCTCAGCAGATAAATGGGGCTTACTAACCTGGAATCTTAAAACAGGAAGCCCTACTACATTCTGGAGCCGTGACTAAAGGAAGGGGCCAGGTGGGGACTGGCCCCAACCGGCAGACCTATTGAACAGCCAGACAAGTTCCTCCAAAACAGTGGAGTAAACAGACGAGAGTCCTGAACAGGAGGAGGTTGCCCAGAAGGAAAGCAGAGGCAGCAGCAAAGGGAGGTCTCCAAAAGGAAAAATCAGATGCTAAAGTGGAACTAATGGATCTGGGAAGAATCGGAATTAGAGTCAAAGGAAATTGATAGACACAGCAGATGTCAAAGACCACCTAAGTAAGATATATTCAGTAAGGTGCTGTGCCACCATAGAAGAAGGAATTAGAACTACGCCAGAGGAAATGAGAGATCCTCGAGATGCTGTGCCGGGGCTGTGGAGATGGGTTAGTGGACGAGATGCTTGTGAAAGAGCGAGGCTCCAATTCGGTGTGCTCTGAACGCACGTATGCACTACATGGGAGTGCGCATCCCTAACCCCAGCAGACCGGGGGCACGATGGGAAGCAGAGAGAGGAGTCCCTAGCAGCCCACAAGGCGCTGGCCTGGTCTGTGCAGTGGTGAGCAGGAGAGAACCCTGTCTCTGACAAGGTGGAAGGCAAGGCTTGTCTGACCTTCACGTGCCCACTCACGCACACGCACACGCACACACGCTACACATGACATCATCACATGCACTGAAATAAAGACGCAGGAAAGAATGTGGAACAATCCTGCATTCTGAAACATAGTTAAACACAAAATTGTTGAAGATGGGAGTGGGGGGAGGGGCAGACAAACAAACTTGGAAAACCTGCCCTTAGCAACAGTTCATGTACTTTCTTGCTTTGTAAAATTTATGTGTGTGATTACAAAGGAAGGAGTTATTTTAAATTGGGAAACATATGCCATATTAGGTGACTAAGAACAGAAAACATGATTGTATATAAAAACTAAAATCAAATATAGGTAAAGGCCGTAGCAAGAAATAAGAAAACAGTTGTCAACATTGGACTTAATTTTCATTGATTTCTTCGAAATGTTCCTATGGTCCTGACTGAACCCAGGGCCCCATGGACAAAATCCCGTCCCTTGGGGTTTTGAGGCAGGGTCTCACCATGTAGCTCGGGTTGGCATTGAAATTCAGTCTTCTCACTCCAGTGGTAAGCATGGCACACCTAGTGTGCTGTTGTGTTTGATGGGTGATTACATGCTCTCTTGTAGCATAAGGACTTCAGGAGTTTGTGACATTCAGAAGGCAAGGTGCATTCGTTGGAAATATGTACTTGTTTGGTGATGTTTCAAAGGATCGTAATCTCAGTGAAACTTGAATAAGTCTCTCTGATTGGTGACAGGTAGGAAGTCACGGAATAGAAGCAGCTTGGGCTGGTGGCAGAAACGGCCGAGAAGTCATGGACAGATTCTTCCCAATGGCTTCAGAACTCCTCTCCCCAAGAGGGCTGTTCTACTTAGTTACCATAAAAGAAAACAATCCAGGTAATTCAAAACAAAACAAAACAAAAAAAACAGCTTCTTGTTAACTGTTTACTTTGCTGACAACAAAAGTGTTGAAAACTGTAACTTAAAAGTAGCCTGGGCTGTTGAGCACTTTAATCCCTGACAACAGCTAATACAGCCAGAAGTTCATGTTGGAAGAGGAGACTTAAGAGGCAAAATGTTCATGTTTTAAAAACTGTTGTCTTAGGACAGGCAGTTTTCCCTTACTCATAAACTAATATTCAGATATAAACTCTGGCTGCTAACACTTCACCGTCAGTGTGGGTTCTTTCTCACGGGGCGGGTCTTACATCCCAGCAGTAATAATAAAAAGAGATGATGGTGACCCCCGTACCGTGTGCACCAGTAGGGTACCTTGCAGACAGGCCACTGGTGTGGTCCACAGGCTTCACAGCTAGATGAGGCTGATGATTACTTCATCCCCCGTAGTGTGTAGACTTTCCAGCATCATGAACACGAGCCGGTAGAGATGAAGTTTCCAGGTAAGTACCAGTTAGGTTTCCTGAGTGTGGGGTCTTCACCAGTATGGTCCAAACCTTCAAGACTGTGTAGGGTAAACAGTTGCTTTGGCAATGGCCTGTAATGTTTGTGCGGGGAGTTGGTCTGTGGATCCTTTTGGCTAACTGATAAAGACATAACCCATTCATTGTGTGTGAAGGAATTACTTGATACTGTTTTCTTAGTTCAGTTTTGTTTTGTTTTTTTTTATTATTATTTATTTATTATGTATATAGAAGAGGGTTCGAGATCTCATTACAGATGTTTGCGATCCACCATGTGGGTGCTAGGAATTGAACTCAGGACCTCTGGATGAGCAGTCAGTGCTCTTAACCTCTGAGCCATCTCTCCAGCTTATTTTTGTTTAAGATGAAGATTTGTTTTTTGTTTGTTTGGTTTTTTTTTTGTGTGTGTGAGTGTGTGTGTGTACATAAGTATATATATGCACCATATGTGTGCACAAGCCTAAGAAGGCCAGAAGAAAGCATTAGATCCCCTGGAACTATAGTTATAGATGGTTGTGGGCTCTCATGTGAGTGCTGGGACTTGAACCCACGTCCTCTGCCAGAGCCATAAGTGCTCTTAACTACTGAGCCATCTTTTGAGCTCTAGGATTTATTTCCAAAAGAAGTAAACTTATTTACACTCTCTGGGCACTGTCAAGGATTCACTTTGTCCATATTCTCATTGACGTTTCCCAGAAAGGATATATGGCAGAGATTGGCACCAACTGGCTAAAAGTGTGATTGCTTGCTCTAATAACAAGGTTAACTAATGATCCTGTGTCATCTCAAATGGGCTACCACTTCAAACTGGGCCTAAGTCTGGTCAGACTCCTCAGAACATCTTAACAATATATGTCCACTTCTCTCCAGTTCAAGCTTGAGTTAACAAACGTTTATTTGGTGTACATTGTTTAATCAGAGGAATTTAATGTGTTTTATCATCTTACTAAATTGATCAATGATCATGCATATCACCAAATGATTTAGATGAATTTTACCTTTTGGTTTTTGTTGTTTTTTCATTTTAGAAGAAATTGTTAAAACACTGAAGACAAAAGGTCTGCAAGGGACCACAGCACTTTGCAGGCAAGCAGGCCGAGAAATCCTGTCCATCCTCAGGTTCAGCAAGTCCTAGTGTCCTGAGAAAGCCACCAAAGTACGCAAGACCTGCCTGAAGCTGAATGCACTCAGTAGGTTTGAGACTGACGCCATTCCCTGGCCAAGAAATTTTATCAGAAATTTGTTATAAAGAAAAAGGTGGAGTCAGGGCGGTGGTGGTGCACACACCTTTAATCCCAGCACTGGGGGGGAGGCGGGGAGACAGGCTGATGGACCTGAGTTCAAGCCCAGCCTAGTCTACAGAGCGAGTTCCAGGACAGCCAGGACTGCTACACAGAGAAACCCTGTCTCAAGGGAAAAAAAGAAGAAAAGGTGAGGGCTGGATAAATGGCTAAAAGGTTAAGAGCACTGGCTGCTAACACAGAGGTTTAGGGTCCAGTTTTGAGCACCCACATGGTAGCTCACAGCCACCCATAACCCCAGTTCCAAGGGATCCTACCCTTTTCTGACCTCTGGATACCAGGCACACATGTGGTATACATACATAAAGCAAGACACCCATACACAGAAAACAACATAAACCTAAAAAAGAAAAAGATGTTAAGCTGGGGCATTTTGTTTTCAGGGACTCAAGTATATGGGTATTTCTGTACATGTGCAAGTAAATGTGTATATTTATAATTTACATTTTATGTTATATTTATATATGAAATTATGTTTGATATAGCATTAGCTATATATAATAGCAAAGTAATATATGATCACCCTAAATGTCCATCAGAAAGGACACTGGTTAAAATAAATGCCAGTTATCCATTCCACTGAACATACAGCCATGAAACGAGTCGCTGTGTAGACCCTGAACCAGAGGCTCCATGGCAGCTCGTCACAACTAATGCAAAGAAGCTGCAGATGAATTTTACCCCATACATGCAATTTTAAAAATCCAGCTGAGGCAGTGTGTTGATGTGTGTACATGACAAAGGCGTGGGAGGTAAACTGCAGGAATAAAAGAACTTCACTCTTTTGTGGTGGCATGCGCTTTACACAATGGTAATATTAAACAATTACAGTGGATTATCATAAACAACATGATAAAAACTCAAATGGAGGCATTGTTTCATTCTTTGAAGAAAAAACATCACTCAATGACTGCATTCATCAGGAAGGTACTTTGTTCTCTATAGTTATTCATAAAGGCCCACCAGAGGCCAGTGATGGCATCCAAAAAGTCCAGCCATATACCTCCTATGGAGGGAGCGGTAACCTTAGATAATAATTTGCAGGGCCACATTCCCTCTCTATTTTTTTAGGGATGGCTACTGGTACATTGCCTACCTATGCTCAGTGAACAACCCTGTACCCATATGGATATAGGAGCACTGCCTGGACTCAGTGAGTTAAAAAAATATACACAGGTAAGCTTTTGTTTTGTTTTCTGAGACAGGGTTTTCTCTGTTACAGCTCTGGCTGTCCTGGAAGTCAATTTGTAGACTACCCTCAAACTCAGAGATCTGCCTGCCTTTGCCTCCCAAGTGCTGAGATAAAAGGCATGCACCACCACCACCTGGCCAGATATAATCTTTTAAAAGTGTATGTATGTGTAAATATATGCTGCATGTGAGCCAGAAGACAGTGCCAGATGACCTAGAACCAGAATTACACGTGGTTTTAAACCACCCAGCACAGGCTTTGGAACCAACCTCGGGTCCCCTCAAAGAGAGCAGTAAGTGCTATTAGTCAGTAGGCCACCTCTCCAGCCCTGTATGTGTAACTTAAAAGTAGGGCATGAAGTTGAGGAGGTATGAGGAGGGTGAGGGGAGGTTATGATCAATACACATTATATACATGTATGAAATTTTCAAATGAAAATAATAATTCCCAGTTCATGATAGCATAACTAGGGTCAGGATAACTTGGTGATCAATATTCTCTATTCATATCTGCCAAGATACACACAGTATCAGGCCAGGGGCTGTCACTCAAAGCAAAAGCAGCTGTGTTACTAGCAGGGTTTTACTCCAGAATCCAGAAGGCCTGCAACTGCGGAGCCCCTGGATGGAATCCCTGCCTGCCATTACATCCTCAGACACCATGGGTTTGCTGGACCACATGGCCAGAGTGCCAGAGCAGCTCACACACAGCCTGGACTTCAGAGAGTGGGAAGGAGCAGGCTGTAGGTGAGACCTCAGGTACTCAGGAACACTTGTTCCCAACCTGTGGTCTTGCTGCCAGTGTGCCACATTTGGGGAGTGGACAGGTAGGTGAAAACCTGTTGGCTTTAGCAAGCTGCACTAATGGAAACTCCAGAGGGAAAGTCCACCACACCGAACTGTCAGGAACGTACAGGATGGCTGATTGTAGCCTGCCTGCAGCCTACGTCAGCTCGTTTCATCGCTGGCAGGCACAAGAGCAGCACACATTATTACAGCACAGCAGTTAGTATGAACATGGGTGTGTCTTCATCAGTTACACCACATGTACGCTGTGTTCCAGGAGAACTGAGGAGGCCCTGGCACGCCTGCCTTTAGTGTACATGAGGTTTACCAGACTGCAATGGAGAGAAACAGTACCCATGCCTCCAGCTGATGCTGAGAAGAGATGAAATGGAATAGTGTGGTAACACATGAAAATGCCATAGTTAAGCCCGTTACTTCATAGGCCAATTCAGTGAAACTAAGTTGTTTCTTACCCCCAAGTGCCCTATAGAATCAGGGTATCAAAACCACAAATTACAGGATGCCTTGGTGTTACTGAGAGGAGTCCTTATTCTTAAAGTTCACAGTAAGTCAAAGCTACCAGAGACAGGTGAACACCCTGAATAAGACCTTTTAATAAGGAATATCTGCAAAATGGAAAGACAAATCTATACAGACACTGGAGGATTCCATCACAGATACATAACATTTCTACTACCTCTAATTTGGAGCAGAAAAAAAGAGTCAGGTTATAAGACCTGTAAAGTAAAATTTGGTGAGGACAGGAGAGCTTTAGAATGTTGTGATGCCTACTGTCAACCTGGCTGTATCTGGAGTTAACTAAAACCCAAGTGATGAGCACATCTGTGAGGGATTTTAGTTAAATCATTTGGGGTAGGAAGACCCACCTTTAATCTGGGCCACACCTCCTGCTGGCAGCCTGTATAAAGGACATGGAAGAAGGAAGTTTTTGCTCTGCCTGCTTGTTCTTGCTGGCAAGTCCATTCCTTCACTAGCATTTAGAGCCTACTTTTGGCTTCTGGGATGTACTGAAGACCAGCTGAGACATCCAGCCTCATGGACTGAACAACTACTGGACCTTCCGCTGGTAGACAGCCATTGTTGGACCACAATCTGTATGCCATTCTAATATATACATTCATTCTATAAGTTCCGTTCCTCTAGAGAACCCTGACTAATAAAACCGTTAAGACATAAAAAATAAAATATGGCTGAATCAAAATGGAAAAGAATGATCAATTTAATTAAATGGAAAAACTGTGAAATTAAAGTCACATACTGTGGTATGTTTTCTTTGTGCACCCCAATAAAGCTTACCTGAGGATCAGAGGAAAAAGTCAGTATATTAAACATAGAAGTCAGGCAACGGTAGCACATGCCTTTAACCTTATCACTCGGGAGGCAGAGATCCATGCAGATCTCTTTGAATTTAAGGCCACGCTGGGAACAAAGCCAGGCATGGTAGCACATGCCTTTAACCCCAGCACTAACCAAAGAGGTCTGGAGGTTTGTATAGACAGATAGGAAGTGCTGTGTGGAGAGAGGAAGTGAGAAAGGCATATAGGCATGGGTGTACAGGAAGTAGGTCTCTTTGGAGACAGGTGTTGGTGAGGTGAGGTTGGCTGTGGCTTGTCCTATTCCTCTGATCTCTCAGTTTTAACTCCAATATCCGGCTCCAGGTTCTTTATAGCAATTCGTCTTACAACATACTGTGGTTTTGTTTTGTTTTTTTTAATTTTAGAACATTGCTGTCTTCAATTTCATACATATAATGTATGGTAATTACACAACACACCATGTTGAGGACAAGCTACATGCTTAACTAGATAGTAAAGCATTATGTGACTATAATTTAAAAATACAAGTAACCTAGTAGAAAAATAAGCATAAATTGTGGACATGTTTGTAAAATAGTGACCATCAAGAATGAATGAAACTGGGTCTCTCCATAGTTAGGAAAACATGAATCATCACAAAGATAACAGGAGATATAGACCAGGTGTACAATGCTTTCCTAGCTCACAGCTCTCCAACCAGAAACTGGAAAGTGTCATTAAGACTAAACATGAGTGGCAAGTACGAGCCGGAACCCTCTTACTGTACTGGGAGATGTGCCAATGTGCAGCCAAGTTAGAGAGCAATCTGACATCATGTAAACCAACAGTTTACACATCCTGTTACCTGGAATTCCACTGTAACTCATGCCTCCAGAGCACCTACCACATTTGCTGGGGAAAGGTGCAGAGCAACATAATTGCTCAAAATAGCAAAAACTGCCCAAATAGCTGTTAGGAAGCCTGGCAGGGAGGATGCTAAACAGCAGGTAAGTGAAGAAGCAGGCGGCCAAGGATGCCAAGGAGGAAAGCACCTTCAACTTCAAAACAAAAGCCTGCCACACACTCTCCATGGACACAAACAAGAGAGCAGCAAGTATAAACCCTTGGGAAGGAAAGGAAGCGCACACACCTCCCAACAGTAAACTGGCTCTGGAGAAGGAGGATGGGTCAGAGAATACCAAAGAGGAACATTTTATTTCTAAAAAATCAGAATCAAATAGGCAAAATAGTATGGGAAGAGTACAAGGATTTATTATTATTTTCTGTATATTTGAAATATTTTGTAATTTGAAAGAATTTAATGGCATAATCAAATAATTATTCACACCACAATTTATCATGTTAACATTTAAACTATAGAAATGCATATAAATATATTAAATCATGAGAGAAATAAGTAAAAATAAATTTTAAAAATTGCTATTTAGTTTGGGTTTCAAGTAAATTTGTAATGGGGCTTTGATTCTCTGGCAATTTTAAGATCTTTCATGCTAAAATTTTCAAGTCTGGTATCCTGTATGTGAGTGTCATTAAAACGAAATAAATTAAATCTGAATGTGGAATTCTGGATTCCAGTCTTCCTTCTAGAAAGCTTTCTTTAGCACAGCAAAGAAGCGAGCTGACAGTTGTCTATGCACACCAGTCTTCCAGAATGCATTCAGAGTCCCGAGTACGACGCTCCTCCCTCCTAACCTGCCGCCCTCTCCGGCTGCAGGAAGCCTGAGCTCTGCTGCTCTCTCTTCTACCTGGACTTTGGGTCAGGAGTCAAGAAGAACCAATACTGGAAGGGTTATAAACAAAATTTTATTGTAAAACCACTTTGAAAGAAAGTTTTTCACGGGGGTATTACACAATCCTTGAGATTACTGTGTCAGAGGCAGACATAGAAAGGTAAGAGAATGTCTTAAGGGGTTAAGAAGAGGTAGTAGAATTTTGATATCTACACTTCACTCTGTCCCTGAACCTCAAGACTGTAAGATAATAAATACTACACACAAACAAATCAGAAGACAGGCAAACCAATGCTGCATCTGTAACCCACATAGTTCTCACTCTGGACTGTAATCCTGACCAAATTCATACTATTTCAATAACAGTCATGTTGAGCAGTTCATGGTAAGCAGTAATTTTATTTGACATGAATTGCACCCTTCTAATTAAACATTTTCAGAGATGAACTGACCTAGGTGTCCTAACTACTAGATAGGAAATGGAAGACTGTGATAAAATTGGCCTAAGATCCAAACTTCTATACCTCATACTTTGGATACAGTTTTTAAAGGCAATGGTACTGTAGCCAAGGCAGGTTTTTTTTTACTTGTTTAAACACTTCAGTCTATTCAGACTTCACCAGGCTTGGTGGCACGCACCTTTCATCCATCCCAGCATTTGGGAGGCAGAGGCAGGCAGATCTCTTGAGTTCCAGGCTAGTCTGATCTACATAATGAATTCCAGACCTGCCCAGAACTACACAGTGAAATCCTGTCTCAAAACAAAAACAAAATACTAAAGACTTAATTTTACTTAGTACTAAAGCCTTCATTTCTGAAGGTTTTAAGTAATTAGTTCCCCCAATTCCTGATCTGTAACCATGGCCAGTACAGATAGCAAACTGCTTACAACATTTAAAGTCTCCTACAGTATTTTTAAATACTGGTTTTCCCACACATTATCATGCTTTAGTAAGCAAATTTATCTGTTCCTTTCTTGATAGACAACTACCATTTTACTCTACAGATAATCAAATAACTGCTTACCTCAAATTTCTACTCTTTGGAGACTCACTAAACTGAGTAACAAATTCACTCACAAATTTACAATTCAAAACTCATTAACATATGGAAATAATTCTTTCACAAGCAAAAGATTAACGTCATGAATATAATTTATAAATTTCATAATTCTCAACAGAGCCTCTTTGAGTTCAGTTCATTCTTCCATGTGAGATTTCAGAGTGCACTTCAAACACCTCTGGATATGGATGTAAATAGCTTAGTGTCACTTTATCATGAGAACAATCTATGAAAATCAGAGATATTTTTAATTTTTCCATCATCACTAACAAACAAATCTTAAGTTTTATCTATAGATGTAAATCAGCTCTCAATTCATCTTGCTTTTACACCTGGACTGTTCTACAACACAAACCAACAAACTTGATGATTTATAAGTTATAATATAGCTAATGCTTTCACAAATTTCAGTTCTATAATTTAGGGTATTTTTGAGAAGAGATATATTTATTTTTAAATATACAAAGAGATTAAACCATTAATATAAATATTTTCTCTCAAATATGTAATATTCTCTTGTAAAAGAAAAGAATTTCCAAAGATTTACAAAGCGATCTAAAGAGAAGTGAGCCTGATGTCAGGGTCACATCAACAGAGATGCCATTTCTGTCGTGCTCACTGGCTTCCTCACGTCAGCACTTCAAGATGGAGCCAAATCCATTACCTCTGGCTTGACCTACTGCAGGGACAACGTACAATAAAAAACAAAACCCTCAGAAAAAGGTCTCACGACAGAGTGGACAAGTGGATTTGTTGCTAGAAGTAAACCATTTGTACTGAAAAAGAAAAGGATTTAATGTTAGAATAAAGTTTTAAAGTTTATTAGATTATCATATATACCACAGATTACAATTCAAAACTCATTAACACATGGAAATAATTCTTTCACAAGCAGAAGATTAACGTCATGAATATAATTTATAAATTACCACATATATATGGTAATCTAAATGATAAAATGAAAACGGGAACATATTAAAAATGTTGCCTTCCCATCTCCAAAATTAACATAACTAAATGTTCTTTCTAGAGGCTGTACTATGATCCCTTGGCCCTGTATACTTAGGCTCATGCAGAAAACTAAGGTAGAAGACCTACCAAGAAATGATTCAGTGTCCTTTTCAATATGATGTTTACAAAGAGCAAAAGGCTCTGAGGACGGATGGCCCGAGTTAAGTCTTAGAGCCTCCTGTCCTGGTCTAGATCTCCAAGACCATCAATTCACTGAGTGCCAAGAAGTCTTTGAGTACCCACTCATTAAAGTGCTTTCATGTTCCACCTCAGTAAGTCACTGCTCTTTAATACAGATTTTGAAACTTCCCTTCTTAATGTCTTCTATAAACACATAGTGTCTTTCTTTAAACTGTGGGTGTCTGCAGGACAGGAATGTGCAGTGCCGAGGGCATGAGGTCAGAGAACAACTCTTGTCAGGTTGGTTCCCTCCTTGACATGGATGCCAGTCTTGGCAGCAAGTGCCTTTCCTTTACCTGCTGAGCCATCTTACCAGCCCTACACACCATCTTCCAAATAAATATCGCATCTCTACAGAGCACAAAGCATGGAAGAAATGTCTCTTTGCCTTACCAAGCAGGCTGAGTGGAACTTTTTCTTGCATGTTCTACAGGCTTTTTTGGGAAGAGAATAGTTGAAACCATGAATAACTGAGAAGCAGATCATACAATCTTCAACACCCTCAAAACGTTTGTCTACATTATTCTTCCATAATGCTAAGCCTTCCATAATACTTCCATTCTGTAAGTCAAGAGGAAAGAAAGTCACTACACACTGAAGGCCTCCAAATGTTACTTTTATTCAATCCCACAAATTTCAAGGCTGAAATTTAATTCTGAAAGGAGAATCTGGTTGGTTATATTATCTCCTAACTTTCCTAAATGTTTGAAATCATCTTGAATTTTTAGGAAAAAATGTAATTTTTCCCAGTTTTTACCGGAAATACTGGGGTTAAAGGTTTAAGTGAGATTCAGGCAGGGGCACAGAAGGGCACGTTTGGAAGTGAGGGAGGTAAGGGAGTATGGGAAACCCTTACAGAAACCGTACCTTGTAACATCACTGAAGTATGTATTTATGTAAATCTACATATTTATTTATTTAGGCTTTTTATTAATCTCTGAGAATTTCATACAATGTATTTTGAACATATCTACCATATCTACCAGCTCCTCCCCATCTCCACTCAGATC